TCTTTCCTGCCTATGCAGGGGGTTGGACTTGATGATCTATTGAGGTCCCTTCCGACCCTAACATCTATGAATCTATAAGAAACGTAATCATGTTTAATCTCGATAATATGGATACATTTCTTGGTGAAGACAAGCTCTCAGGGGTTAGATGATAGTTTAGTTTCTATGGTCTACTTAATATTTTATTTCTCTGAAATTACCCTGATTTGCAATGAAAATATCTATCCCCTTGGAATTGGATTGAGAAAATAATCATCAACGACGGTGGTAAGAATGATGAAAAAATACCACTCCATTTATTATCTAAGGCTTTCTTTGACAATTGCCAATGTTTTGTTCATGAAACTTCTGCAACTTGCCTATACCTTGACCTCTGATTCTGGTTCAAAAGAAAAATGATAATTCATCTGTGATCTGCATGCATGTCAGCTGAGTTTGATTCGTGACCCAAAGCTATTGAAATCATTCAACAGCAGCCACTAGAAACGAGGATACGACCCAGACCTTATATTCATTAGCAACAACATTGCTCAGTTAAGTAATAAAATGGTATTTGACCCCATTGCACATTCCCAACATCAACCAATTGGCATTCAGATCCAAACCACAGTAATACTTATAACAGTGCCATTTTGCGCGCACCTCAACCTTTAAAAGGCAAATTGGAAAGGCTTTTCAGAACACCTTGATGCCACGGTCAAGACCATCAAAGCATTGCCTGAGATCTATGACCAATTCATAAAAACTGCACAAAAATCTGCAAGAAAGAACATCCTGTGGGACTGCCACAAAAATTACATCCCAGGCCTCACTCTACAAACCACTGGCCTATAAAACGACTACAGGTGATAGACCCTTTTTCTGCAAACGTGATTGCTACAGGCAGGGATCGACGACAGCCAGTTCCATGTAGTGATCTCTGGTAATGTCTCTGATGGCCAAGAGCTCCCAAATTAACAAAAATGCCAAAGCACACAAAAATAAAGATATGGACACCATTTCTGTCATATGAAAAAAGAATTGCTATGGGTGAGGAGCTCATATTAACCATCATAGAAGAATGCAGGGCATCCTGGCAGACCCCGATTGAGTCAACTGATATGACACATAACAGTAAAAAGGCATGGGCGAGAATACGTAAACTAAGTGACAACCCACAGAAGACCGATAAACATCATAAGGTCACCCCTAGCCAAAATTGCCCACTAAATGCTTCTCAATGGGAAAAAAACCCAAGAACCAAACACAAATAAAAAGACCCTGAGACTGGAAAGGTACAAGCATCCCAAAGACCTCTGTTTTAAAAGCCCCTTCTCAATGATGGAGCTGAATGCTGGCATTAATGCACTGAAGACAAGAAAAGCAGCTGGACTTAATGACATACTTTTTTGGACCCCAGATTCGAGAATGGCTCCTCTGCCTGCACAACTCATGCACAGCCAGTCTGAAAATTCGTAAGATATGGAGACATGCTCAGGTAGTGACACTTGTAAAGCCAGAGAAAGATCCATCTGACCCAAGAGCTTCGGACCTATCTTTCTGCTATGCTGCACATACAAATTGTAGAAACAAAATACTGGAGCAGCATGTCCCATATGTGGATAGACACCTAATCCATGAGCAGGATGGCTTTCACCCCAGAAAACCAACAGTGAGCCAGCTGTTCAATCAAACTCAACATATTGAGGATGGTTTTGAAAGAGGCCAAATCACTGGAGTTGTGTTCGTCAACCTAACAGCCACCTACAATACAGTTAATCACTGATGACTCGTCCACAAGACCCTGCGAACGACAAAAAAAATCTATACCTTACATAGTGATACAAATCCTGCTTGAAAACAGATTTTTTTTGTTGTCAAACTGGATGGGAAGCAAATCAGATGGAGGTGACAGATGAATGGCCTCCCGCAAGGCAGCGTACTTGCACTGCTGTTACATTACATCTATACGAATGACCAACCAATTGATTTGGAAACAAAATGTTTCACCTATGTAGATGACTTATGTGAAACAGCTCCAAACACACTGAAAAATCCCTAAGTGAGGTACTAATAGGCCTAACCTCATACTACATGGAAAACCAATTATGCACCAACCCAGCAAAAACACAAGTATGTGCTTTCCATCTGAAAAATCATTAGGTCAAC